TAAAGAAGAACGGAATTGGGGCAGATACTAGATAGTGAAGAAACAATGAGTAGCCTTGATGGGGACATTGATGCCAGGTACTCGCTAGTTATGTATTTCCCTAAATGCCGTGCAATCACTTCGACTCTTGACTTCCTATCCTTCTTATTCTTGTGGCTAAATTCTTCTCTTTCGCAAGATTTGTGGTCAAGAAAGCACGGAAGAGGGTTGGCAGCTTTAGGCGATCGGATTTACTGAGGCGCTTCCTTTCTAGCTACCTATACCTTTTTCTTAGAATTACCTGTTAGAGGATTCTGTCACTTACACTATATCAAGCATAGATATATATATAAGTACAAACATATATAGATACACCGGTTCTGTTTTTGTCTATTATTCTTTTGTTTTGCTTTTGATCGAAGGCGATCACCTTAAAAACAACAACAAAGAAAGAAAGAAAGAGAAGAGCGATAGAAACGTGGTCGTCTTGTTAGAACATTGAAACGGAACTGTAATAGCATCTAAAGCACCATACAAAGACACACACACAGAGAGAGAGACACACACAGACATACATACCTTCTTACCCACAAACACACGCACACCCGCACAGATGGCCGTTCAGCACAAAGGCACGGCGATCGCCATTTGGGTTATCTGCGCCGTTCTCCTCGTCGTCGTCATCTGTCTTGCCGTCTACCTCGTCTGCTACCGTCGGCGCCGACGAGAGATCCGCAAGCTGCACCGTCAACTTCGCCACACCGAGGAGGAGCACAGCACCGTCAACGACTCGGAATGGAACGCCAATGGGGCCGCGGCGAACCCGGTGGCACTGCGCGGTCACGCCAGTGGGTCCGAGCCGTCTGCGCTGTATCCCGGATTTCGCCGGCACACAACGGAGGGACTCGAGGCCCTGCCTGCACCCACGGACTCCGTCAGCTTCGCTGCTCCCCTCGTCGTGTATCTGCGCGTACGTCGTGACCAGGCGTACATGGAGAGCTGCGACATACTGCTCACGGTCGACCGCCTGCGTGACAGTGTGCCGACGGATCACAGCACGTACACGCTCCTTGGAAACGACAGCTACTACCACGAGTGTTTTCTGCTTTACACCGCCCCGTTGGTGTTTCGAGAGCCTGGGCTGTACGTCATTCAGGCCTTCATGGTTTACCCGACAAAGAAAATCGTAGGTGCCGTACACCAGTTCACGTACGTGGTGACGCGCGACGGGATCGCGGCGGGTGGCCCCGGCACGTACGGGCATTCCAGCACCGCAAACCGCCACGACAACTCCATCGACATCGACATCGCGCGACGGCTCGCGGATCGGAACGCAGCGGACCATCCACACACATCCGCCCTCGGCGACGGCAACGAGCCAGAGGTGCTGTCCTTACCAGGGACGGTTGGCGCGGCATCGGTGCCTCCTTCTGCTCTGCAGTTGGCGGGTCCGCCGCTGCCGCCCGTGATTCTACCCAGCGGCGGCGAAGTGACGACGTCAACAGACATCATCATCACACCGAATGAGCTGAGCACCACCCCCGATCAGCTGCGCTACAGCGTCGACGGCAGCTACCCGAATTTGCTCTACAGCGCACCGTTCACGCTCAGCCTACCACCGCCGTCGCTGCTGCCGTCGCAGCGGCGAAATGTGGTGATCAAAGCGGTCGCCATTCGTGGCTCGAACGGCAGCGCCACGGCCGACTCCGCCATGCTGGCCTCCGCGACGGTGGCATCGGCCAACGTAAGCTCCATCACGCGCGTCGTGTTGCAGGTGCGGCCGGCGGGCTTCTCGTACTTCGACACGCAAGTCCCCACGCCGTCGGCGCGGCTGCGGGCGCGGGGGGCCACGTTGTACTTCGACGAGTCCAAGAACCCACCGGGGACGCAGACGGTGTACGAGCTCGTCTACGTGAACGAGGCGCGGCACAAGGTGCGCTACAGCCGTCAGCGGGCGCTGGTGTACACCGGGCAGCCGATTGCGCTCCCAGAAAACGTTGCCACCGTGCACGCATGGACAATCACAAGCGCGCCAACCTCAACCAACGCAGAGGTGGAGGAGCGAGTCCGCAGTGTGCCGACCATCTACGACTGCACCCGCGCTGCTACCGAGCGTGGCAAGCTCAGTCGCCGCCGCATTGAGCAGTACCACCTGCAGCCGGAGCAGCTGCTGCCGCCACCCGTGATGTGTGTCTCCTGCGGGGATGCGGAGTTGATGTTTGACGACCCGCCAGCGAACGGCCGCATCGCCTACACGCTGAACGACACCGAGCCGGCGCTGTACGACGTCTACCCTCCCGCCTGTGCAGTGGACCTGAATGAATCGCATAACCGGAACTCGCAACCACGCCGCAGGGATATGGCGGAGGCGAGCCCGATAGAAGGGGACGTCGGCGGGTCGCACACCTTCCTTTACCAGGCGGGTAAGCGCCTCCGCGTGACGGAGATGGAGACGAAGCAGGTGTATGTGACGGCGCGGGTGTTTGTGCCGATATTCGAAGACAGTGATGGCACTCTGTCTGGCAGCACTGGTGGCCAGGGCGGTAGCTGCACTGGGAGTGGGAAGCTGCTGGGCTACCGCTTCGGTGGCGTCTTCCATCGCGGCTTCTATTTTAATTAAGAAAGAGAGTAAAAGCGGCGTAGCGAACGAGAGACCGCCTTTTTTGTTTTTTTTTGTATACAGGCGTGACGCAGCTCTTCGAGCTGTTTTAAACCCAATGCTCCTGTGCCGTGCGAAATCTCGCCCCTCTTTTTTTTTCTTCTTGCTGTTCCTCCTACGCACGTTGAGCGTATAGATATCAAAGAGCTCTTCCCCTCAAAAAAAAAAGGGGATTCCATAACGCACACAACGACACCGCTGCGAAAGAGATCCACCCCGTCTACTTTTTTTGTAGAGAACAACGAAGGCGGAAGAGGTGGAAGGGAGCTAAAACTGGCTCACAGTGTTCTTACGAAGGCGGTGCTTTTGTTTTTTTTCTGTTCCTTTGGTTTTCACCATCGATGAAAACGGAGTAGCACGTGTGTTTTCAGCTTCTGAAGAGGTGATCGCTTTCATGCGCGGTTTGCCTGCTATGTAAAGGGCAGCTGGACAGGCGTCGCGGTCATCAACACCGTCTTTAATATATCTAAAAGACTTTTTTTGTCTTGTTCTCTCTTTATCGATTGGCTATCGAAACCCTTTTTTTTTAACTGGCTTGCGTGGACTTCACGACACAGCAGAAAAAGTCCCTCTCTTCCGTGTTTGACGGTGACACGTAAAGCGTCCACAAGGAAACAGCACACTTTCTCATTTTTGACCGCTCCTCCCAGCAAACACCCTCTGCAACGCCCAATAGCAAACAGCATTATTAGAAAATGCTCCGTCATGTGCTCGCACGGGGTCCGCTGCCGCAATCCCTGCCGGTGAGTCCCGCGCTGAAGCTGACGGCGCAGAAGGCGAAGCACGCCAAGAACGCCGGTATACGCGTCAACTTCGTCACGGCAGCAGAGGCGACGGCTGCCGGGGCTGCGGTGCCCGCCGGCTTCACCGGGAAAGCGGGGGAGCTGGATTTTAAGTCGCGCTGGGCCACAGCAGAAGAGGATGCGGCGTCACCTGCAAAAGTTGCTGGCCAGAAGCCAGCCGAGCTGGTTGCCGGTCTCGGCAGCGCGTCGACGGTCCGCGACTACCGCCTCGCCGTGACGAGTGCGGTGCGCAAGGCGAAGACGATGCAGTCCGCCTACGTCTCGCTCACTCTGCCCAAGCAGGACATCATGACAATGACGGACCCTTATCACCCACCGCAGCGGCTGTCGAGCCAGGATGTGATTGAGAAGACGGCGTGCTTCGCGGTGACGGCTGCGTACCAGTACAACCGCCTTAAATCGCAAACGCTAATGGCGCAGGCGGACGCGAGAAGGCCGAAAGGACGGGCATCGGCAGGTGCTGCTGCCCGTCGTCGTCGTGGCGCCAACACGGCAGAAGCTGCGCCGATGGAGTTGATTGTGCCGACGAGCAACGTGCAGGCGGTGCGCACCGGCGAGGTGATTGGACACTGCGTCAACGACGCCCGAAACCTGGGCAACCTGCGCGAGGACGAAGGCGTGCCGGAGTTCTACGTCGAGTGGGCGAAGAAGTACATGCTGCCGGAGGGCATCAAGGTGCGGAAGGTGTTGCGCGGGCAGCAGCTGGAGGAGGCGGGGCTGAACCTGCTGTACAACGTCGGCCGTGGGTCGCGGTATGAGCCGCATATGATGGTGCTAGAGTACGTGGGGAACAAGCGGTCCTCGGCAACGACGGCGTTGGTAGGCAAAGGCGTCACCTTCGACTGCGGAGGCCTGAACGTGAAGCCGTACGGATCGATGGAGACGATGCATACCGACATGATGGGGGCCGCGACGGCGCTGACGGCGCTGAAGGCGATTGCCACGCTGAAGCTGCCGATCAACGTGGTGGCGGCGGTTGGGTTGGTGGAGAACGCGATTGGTCCCGACAGCTACCACCCGTCGTCCATCCTCACCAGCCTCAAGGGCCTGACGGTGGAGGTGCTGAACACCGACGCCGAGGGGCGGCTCGTGTTGGCGGACGTGCTCACCTACGTGCAGCACCGCGCCCCGCTCGAGAAGACGCCAAAGCGGATTATCGATCTCGCCACGCTAACCGGTGCCATCATCGTCAGCCTCGGCTCGCGTCGCGCCGGCGTCTTCGCGTCGCAGCCGGCCATAATGGACACCCTCATGGCGAGCGGCACGCGGTGTGGGGAGGAGGTGTGGCCGATGCCCATCGGCGACGAGCACAAGGACGCAATGAAGGGCAACATTGCGGATTTGATTAACTCGGCGCCTGGTCGGCAGGGCGGGTCGTGCACGGCGGCGGCGTTCTTGTCGAACTTTGTGGAGCCGGAGGTGCAGTGGGCCCACCTGGACATCGCCGGCGTGGCGGATATGGGGGACAAGCCGAAGGGCTACGCGCCGGCTGGTGTGACGGGCTACGGTGTGCAGCTGTTGGTGGACCACCTGCGCCATAACAAGCTATAAGAGGAAGATGGAAGGTAGTAAAGTGAATACGAACGAACATGCGAAGGTGGCCGCGTGCATCGAGATGGACGTGATGATCGTGAAGGCATGTTTTTTTTCTTTCCATAACGGCGTTCGTCACAGCAATAAAACACAAGACATACAATGCAAATTACCCGAAAGAAGTCGCGGACGTGTTTCAGCGGCGACCGTGGTAGCGGAGCCCCGGAAGCGTAAGTGAGAGAGCTTGTGCGAAGACACGCGAAAAGAAAGATGCGCTGGGCGTTTCTCGTTTTTCTACTCTACGGCATGAATGCTGCATCGCCCTCTCCCACACCTCTCCCACACCTCGCCCCTCTTCCTCCCTCCGTAGTATTCGTGCGACCCAACTGCTGGAGTGTCAGGGTGTCCCAAAGGAGAGCATTTTACTATTATTTGTTGAGAACGCAACGGAGAGCGGAACATCAGCGGTCTTGCGATGCCTCACAGTCCCAGAGTCAACACGAAACGATACTAAAACAGTGTACGCGTCTCAACAAGCAACAACGCCTTCTCCTCTCCCTCCTTTTTCTCCCTTTACGCATTCTTCTTTCCTTTATTAGCCATGTTGACCCGGTCGGTGCTGCTGCGATCCCGCGTGCCGGACATCGGCCATGTGACCAGCGCCAGGTTCAAGTGGGCCTCCTACACCTTCTGGTACGTCCTCGACCCGATTCTTCGTCGACACCACGCGTACTACCGTTACAAGGTGCAGCTCGATCGCTTCCTGGAGCGCAACAACATCGCCGTCAACACCGCCATCGGCGTTATCGTGGGCGTCACGCTGTACTTCACGCTAGTGCGGGGACTTCTGCTGCCGCCGGCGATAGGGGCGAAGGAGCACTCTATCAAGGAGAACGCGCGCGAGGTGTTGAGCTTGATGGAGTGCGACACATCGAAGGAGCTGCCGGCGTACCAGCTGATGCGCGCAAAGCGAGAGATCATCGGGAAGCTGCACGCCGTCGCGGATGAGGCGGAGGTGCGCCGGCAACGTGAGGAGGTGGAGAGGATGAACGCCTTGCTGAAGAGTCTGCCGTAGTGCGCGGCGCGGACTCCGTGTGCTCGCTGCTGTGCCCAGTTGTGCGTGGGGGGGGGGGGAATTGTGGGAAAATATAAAGCAAGACTGTTGATGCGCAGACTTTCGAACTATTCACATTATCCACTTCTTTTTTTTTTGGTTTCAATATTAGATAAAAGAAACGTGCTTGCTTGCTAAGAGCGTCAACGGCGCATCCTTACCAACGACTTAAACAGAAAACATCTGACGGCATTACACGTGAGGCACGGCGCTGTAAAGAACGGCTTTATTGCGTGAGCTACAAAGAAAGGGAAAAAGCAAAAATATAAAAGTGCGCTTTGCTCGTCAGCAACAGCAGTCCATGAAGGAAAACTGTAGTCACCGACACGACTGATCGCTGCTTTCACCGTACCATCAGCGGCTATGGATGTGTCTCATGTTCGTATGTGTTTCTGCTCTCCACCAACTTGCGGAATCGAGTCAACGACGTCGACGCAAAATTTTTGCACTGCGCTCTGTCAGACGCGATGCGGTGCTTTAAACCAATCATCTCGCAGCTTCGCTTTTTGTTTTTTTCTTTCTTTTAATGACATCTTTTATGCTGGAATTGTTTCCTCCTTCTTCCTCGCTTTTTTTTTTTTAAACAGGAACAAGCACTTACACAAACAACAAACACAGTGCCCGCCAGCGAGCTCGCGAGTATTCGGCGGTGTTAACTTGTCGACGGGGGGTGTTGCTGCACTTGCAGAAACAGGATCGGCAGTTTACATAGTTACTGTCGCACACTCGATACGGAGTGCGAGGAGAGAGAGAGACTTTTCCTGCATCGTTGAAACTCATATTGTCGTATTCCAACATACAGCACCCATTATTATTATTATTATTATTATTATTATTATTATTACTATTACAATTGTTGTTACCGTTTTTAAACGTTCATCGTCTCTTCGCAAAAAGAAAAGAAAACCCTACCATTGTTTTTTCCTCAAAGCAAGTCAGGCAGGTCTCACAGCAATTAGGAGGAGAATGGATGAAAATAAATCATAAATAACATTCCAAAGCCAACTAAGAAGTATATATTTCATAACTTAGGACGTTAAAGGAACGAAAGTGAGCAATCTCTCTCGGGTAAAATTAATTGTTCGCGTGTGTTTCATGACCACGTTCGTAAACACATAATAATAAAAGGAGATAGTCGTCTAAAGGCAACCTTGCCATCCTTGTATGCGTGACACACAGCTCTCAACAACAAAAACAATGCTCACCCGTCGGCAAGCACGGGTGCTCGGACTGACCACCGGCGATGAGGCTTCGTCGACTGTCAACCACTCCGTCCATGCTTCGACATCTCCCGTTTGTGTAATGGAGGCGAGCACCAGCGATGACGCAAGAAGGCTGAACCCCGCAGCAGATGGTGGTGTCCATGCTACTGCTTCTGTGTCGCGCTCTCCGACCAGCAGCATCAACAGCATCGTTCTGCGACTCAGCGCCCCTGCGAATGGTGGTAGCGGCAGTAGCAGTGGCAATTACGGCAACACCCAGCTGTCCTCGACGGTCCTCTCCTCCGGCACTACGCGCGGCAACGGCGGCCACAGCGCCTTCAACGTCAATGGACATCTTGGCGTGCGCCAGGCGGAGGCGATGCGCACGAGTGTGCAGGGAGCTATTGACTTCTGGTCGGCGGCCGGCACAACCGCAGGTCCTGCCATTCAACTCGCCACAAAGTACGGTTTCCACAAGGCGGCCGATAATTCCCTTTCTTCATTGTCATCCCAGGTAACGCAACGTGCAAACGGAGGAGCAGTAGCAACTTGGGTAGAAAGCGGCAATGGTGGCGAGAGGAGTGGACAGGCGGCTCCCACACCGTCATCATCCACGACGCAGCGACCACCGCGCCTGACGACGACGCAGCTGCGTGCGCGGTGGCGTGGCGTCATGCGGAACTGCACTACCCTGCACACGCACCCGCGAAGCAGCGCCACATCCGCAGCGGCAGCAGCAACGGCAGCGCCAGTGTCCTCCTCCTGTCTCTCTCCACCACCTCCTCCTTCTTCTCGTGTCCACGGTGCGAGCACGAGAGACTGGCAGAATGATACGGCGTCGTTGTCCCGCAGCACACCGCACGTACTACGGCTCTCGCACACGGCAGAGGCATCGTCAGCGGAGGTAGCAAATACGCCGGAGTGCGACAACAACAGCAACGTCATTAACAATGACGATCGTGACGATAATACGGCGTTAGGTGGTGGGGTGCTGCGCGCAGGACTTGCTGCGGTGCACGAACCATGCGGCGCACACCGCGACAGGACCGCGTCCCCCGAGGCGTCCTCCCGGCGCAACGCCACGTTCTTCATCTCACCATTTCACGGCGACGTGCCGTCTCCCTCTAAATTTTTCGTGTTGAGGAGAGGAGCTGGAACGGCTGCCTCGCCAACGCCCCACATGTTGGTGCGGCGGCCTCTCACAGCACTTGCGTTCCGCCAGCAGACGCAGGTACAAATGCACGCGAGGCAGCAACGACTCGTTCACGAGGTACACTACCGCGCCTACGTCAAGGTGCACGAGGCGCGGATGCGGATGCTCTTCGGGCTCGACGACTCAGTGAACGGAGGGGCGGCACCAAATCGGAACGGAGGGAGAGTAGACGCAGACAAGCGTCTTTCAACGCACAGTGGACCTGCTGCCGTGGTGGATCCTGTCGCGGCAGGCGAGGCGGCGTACCTGGACAGCCTCGACGCCAGCAAATCGGAAGAAGAGGCGAGGGTGCTGCAGGTAATCGCGTCCATTGACGCGGCCTTGAAGCGGCAGCTCGCCTCCGCGTACCAGCGCAGCATGGATGACTGCGGTGTCTCTGCTGCGGCGTGCAGCGAACGAAAGCTCCCAGGAGATCACACGGTGTTGTTGTCCGGCACAGCGGCAGCGCAAACACCGCTTTTGTCTTCTTCGCCCTCCTCCCCGGCGTCCTTTGCGTTGCGCCGTCCTGCCATTGTGGAAGCGGTCATTGCCAGCACCACACAGCGAGTCGAAGCGTTCGTGGATCAGCTGCTCCCCTATCAACAAGAGGGCGTGCGATGGCTGCTTCGGCTGAATGCGCTCGAGCACATGAACGGCATTTTAGCAGATGACATGGGTCTTGGCAAGACCGCGCAGACAGTGGTGTACCTGTCGTGCTACAAGGACATGTTGGAGCAGGAGGTGCAGCGGCCGCTGGAGGTGCTGCATGCGCGGCACACCCAACTCTGTCAACGTGCGCTGGGACTGGCGATTGTCGGCACGGAGCTAGCGGTGCCGGCGTTGCCATCGTGGTTGTCTTGGTGTGCGTCTGCCACTGTTGCTGAAGAGGTAGAAGAGGGGGGAGATGGGCGGGGTGACAGTCGACGTGCGGATTCTTCTGCCCAACCAATAAACGGTGAGGCATCTTTTGCTTCAATCACCTCCGCCAATGCACCGCTGACGGCGGCGCGTGCCTGTGGCCGGTCGATTCAGCTCGTCAAGGAGGTAAAGCGGTGGTTGTGGCAGCTGGATGAGGCAGGGGAGAGGGATGGACATACGACGGCGGCAGTAACACGCGCCTCCTCTCCCTTCGCCTTTTCGTCCTCGCCACTCCCCACGCGGCAACGGCAAGCACTACAATCATCGTGTAATCCTTTCGAAACGTCAGAGCAGCAGCAGGTGCAACAGTGCGACACCTCCGCCACCGCTACCACGTCACCGGCGGTGAACGTCGTCGCGCTGGTTCCCATTAAGCGGCGCCGCGGCCGCCCTTCAAAGCATCTTTCTGCCATGATGACGGCTGCTGCGCTTGCGGCGGGTGGCTCGACACAGCCAACCTCGTCGGCGCGCTCCTCGCTGACCTCGTCGCCTGCGCCGCAGTCGCCGCTCAGTCTGTCGTCCATGATCGCCCACCAGTGCCAGCTTTCCACGTGCTCATCAGCGCTGGATGCCCGGCTGGATCGGGAGTGGAGTCGCTTCCGCCCGGTGCTGATCATTGCGCCTCTCAGCACACTGCCGCACTGGAATGCGGAGTTCCGCCGGTTTAGTCGACGGGGTGCGGCTGCAGGAGGAGAGAGGGGTAAGGGTGCGGCGGTGGCTCCGTCGCCACTGCAGAACTCTAGCGGAGCTCCGCTGCGCGACACGCAGGAGCGCTTTACCGCGTACGTGCTGAACGGCCCCCGCGGTGAGCGAGAGGAGCGAATGCGTGCGTTTCTTGAGCACACCCAAGGGCTGGAGGAGCCGCCGCCGCAGTCGCCGGTCACGCCCACCACGGCTCCGCCGCAGGCGTCGATGACCACGCCCGTTCTTGTCATCCCGCACGATATGCTGACGAAGCCGCTGAGCGGGCCACTGCGGCAGATCTCCCGCGTGCGGTGGCACGTCGTCGTGATCGATGAGGCGCAGCGCATCAAGAGTGCCCAAAGCAGCCTCTTCAAGAAGGTATGTCTGTTGGATTCGATATCGCGACTGGTGCTTACCGGGACGCCGCTGCAGAACAACACGACGGAGCTGTTTTCCCTCCTGCAGTTTCTCGCCCCGCAGTCCTTCACGTCGTCCGCGGGTGCCCTGTTTGAGCAGCTCGACAGCGCGCTGATGGCGGCGAGCCGGTCCAGCGCGCTGGAGGATCGCGAGTTGCACCTCCTCCTCTGCCGCCGCGTGCATCGACTTCTCATGCCCTTTATTCTTCGTCGCGAGAAGACGATTCTGAAGGCGGCCCTCCCCCCTCTCCGCGACTACGCGGTGCTGTGTCCTCTTCTCCCCTTTCAGGCAGCCCAACTGGCGGAGGTGCGGCGCAAGCACGAGGAGGGTACCCTGTCCGGTAACCCGCATATCCAGTACCGAAAGATTTTGCTGCACCCCTATACGACGCAGGCGTTCTTCTACGTGGACGAGCAGGTCGTTCAGACGTCTGGCAAGTTGCTCGTCTTGGACTTCATGATGCGCTTCTTGCAGCGCACGCGACACAAATTTCTCGTCTTCTGCGGCTGGACGCTGGTGCTGGATGTGGTGGAGACGCTGTGCGGCATGCGTGGCATCCCATACGTGCGCCTGGATGGCAAGACACCAGTGGAGAAGCGCGAGGCGAACATCGAGGGGTTTAATCGCCCCTTCACAAAGTTGGAGGGCGAGGGAGAGGGGGAGAGTATTAATGGAGGTGCGCTCTCCCACCCGCACGCACGACGCACGGGTCGTCGCAACTCGAATGGTGGGAGTTGTGCACGTACCACGGCAACCGCTGCAGCAGCGGCAGCACACGGCGGTGGCGCAGTCGCGGAAGACGACGAACACGAGCTCGCCCCTGCACCGTGCTGCTTCTTAATCAGCAAAGTCGCCGGCGGCGTGGGGCTCAACTTGCAGGCCGCCGATGCCGTTTTCTTGCTGGATGTGGACTATAACCCACAGCGGGATGCGCAGGCCCTCTCGCGTGTGTACCGCGTCGGCCAAACCCGCGAGGTGCGCGTTTTCCGCCTCGTCATTGACCACCCGATCGAGCGCAACATCGTCGCGATTCACGAGGCGAAGGAGAACCTGGGACGTGCGGTGGTGCAGGCGGGTCGGTACGACTTGCACTCCTCCGTGCAGGAGCGGGAGGCGGCACTGCAGCAGATCTTTCGCGCCGGCACTCTCTCGAAGCTGAGTGAGCAGCTTTCGATGACCTCACCCACCGTAGCGACGGCGTCGGAGGCAACGGCAACGGTGGTGGCAGCAGGCGCTGCAGCGGAAGAGGACGGACCATTTGAAGCCGTTCGTGAGAAAGACGGCGAAGACGACGATGTGGAGGATTGCGGAGATGCATCCGTAGATGCGAGGGGGGCCGCGTCATCCGCGTGGCGATGCGGCGGCAGCGACAACGAAGGAGGAACTGCAGAAGATGAAGACGCAGAAGTGGACGAGGAGGAGCAGATGGACATGCCCAACGACGCTGTGTCACCGACTTCGATGCAAACACCGACGGACCTGCACCGTGTGTTTCTCAACTGCCCCAACGGTCCGCTGCCGTCTGCGTTGAAGAAACCGAAGACGGAGACGACGGAAGACGACAACCACGACAAGGCAACGGTGTCGCACACCATCACCAATGCGGCCGCACTCGAACAGATCCGGCTGCAGCGGCCACAGCCACAGCCGCAGCCGCACCGCAAGCGTCGCCACATCTCCTTCAAACTGGAAAACGACACGGAGGAGTACAGCAAGGACAGCAGTCACTCGGAGGACGGCGAGGCCGGTCTGTCCACCGACGGCGACCCTCGCAGCGGCATCGAGTCAAAGGTATTGGGTGCGGAGACGCCTTCCACTGCCGCACCAGGAGGTAAGCAAGACGATGAAGCACACACACCTACTGCCGCGGTGGTGCCACCAGCAGCGCATCTACTGGCGATGCGAGAGCGGTTGGAGGAGGTGTTGCTGCGGCACGACGGCGAGCGGGGCGTGTTGCAGGACATGTTTCGCACGTTGGAGGCGTCGCTGGCGGCCGCGAAGTGATATGTCGAAATGCCGCCGAGACGCAGCTGTGGGACTTCGTCCCTTTTCTTCTCATTTTTCATTGTGTTTCTGCCTCGTTGCTTTGGCGAATCGGCTGTTCTTAATTCCCTATTGAAATCATTTCAGGTAGAAAAAAAAGAACTCAGAAGCATATCCACGATGACACACACACACACCCGCACAAGAACGTTGTGTAATTCCGATGTGCGCGCAGATTTCACTCACGAGACTGCCGGGACGAGCGAGGAATGAACGGAAGGAACCAACTGCAGCAACTTACAGCGAGCATCGTGCACTACACGAACGTGTTAAAGTACTGCCATGCACTTCGAGTTTTTTTTCTTTCATGCGCTGCGACACACCGCTCCCTCCTTCACGTTTTCCTTCGCTTTTTTTTTCGTTTTATTCTCTTACGCCGCCTACACGTGGACACATGATCAAAGCACGTTGGTTTCACCAAACTATACTGCGCACTCTCAGCGCACTGCATTTACATCCTTCTTCTTTTTTTTTCTTGCTCGGGATCAATCCACTACTGGCCTTCTTGACACGAAGCCGCCGCCCTGTTGTGAGCCTCTCGTACATCTAGGTGACGGGGTCGAACGTGTGTGTTTGTTTCGACCATCGTCTCCGCCATACACGGCACTCACCGTACTCATTATTAAACGCTCGCACCGCAGCAACACAACGTATAATCCAATCCAACGCATCTTCCAGCTTACAAGTGAAATCTTCCCTATCCAATCCTCATTTTGCGTTTTTTCTTTATTTTGAGTGTATTTCTTATATGTCTCTGTCTTCGTTTCTGTTTCTGTTTCTTTTGTTGTCGTCGCCATCGTAGCCTGCGGTGATCACGACGGCTAATTTAATACATATATATATATATATATATATATATATATATATATATATATATAT